GCAGACGGATTCTACGGGGCAAGAGGGAGACTCTGATAGAACCCAGGGAAGGACTACGTAAGAATATGACAGACTCTGGTCAACATTCCCAGGCCAAGGGTGAAGGGAATGATAACGACAGCGTGGAGTATCAAGAGTTTTCATGAATGCCGCTCGGAGGAGCAAACCACACTACATTAAAAATAAGTACGGTAAAAATTGTGACAGGGAAGGCATGATAGGACATGGGACATGTGAATAGCCCAGAGTAGAAGGAGAGATACCACAACTACTTAGCACACTTTTGGTCAAATGATGGGCTTCACTTATCTCTTTTACAAGTTGTAATATGACGCTACGAATGGCGAGACTCACTGACGCTGGCGAAACGTCTGGGAATGTACCACATCCACGGTCCTACTCTGGAAATAATGATGCATACAATGGACTCCGGACTAGGTGCGTTCCTTCAGGTCTTACTACCAATATGACCAAGTTGCGAAAATAAGCTCAAACAACTTCTATACAGCGAAAGGAGACTGGAACCACACAAAAGGCCACACCAACTTAGGCTTCATACCTTCAGATGTTGGAGTCAATTTGATTTCGTATGAAAGAATCGTAGCTCGATCTCACCACAGGACGGCTGAAACCCGCTGTAGTGCAGCCGTTTGGCTTTAATGTGAAGAGCTGAACGTCGACCAAAATGAAAATCTCCCCAATGAAAGTAATTTGACCTTGTTTTCGCAATTTGGTCATATTGGTAAGACCTAAAGGAACGCACATAGTCCCGAGTCCATAGTATATATAATAATTTCAAGTCGGAACGTCGACGTGATACATTCTCAGATGTTTCGCTGGCCCAGTAGTCGGCACCATCAGTGAGCATTATCATTCTTGGCACTACACTACAATTTATCAGATGCAAGTGAAGCTGATCCTTTGACCAATTGTGTTATCTCTCCTGCCCTAGGCAATTCACCAACCCAATATGCTCTTATCACCCCTTCACTATCACAATTTCTTAATTGCTTATTTAAATGTGGTATGGTTTCCATTTTGAGCGGATTTCATGAGCTCTCCAAATCCCCCGCTAGATTTCTCCCCTCTCCTCTCTTTACCCTTGGACTGTGAATGCTGATCAGATTCTGTCATATTATTCCGCAATACTTTACCTCAGTAATGTTGTGGTTTACTTGTTTTTTGATTGTTGGCGCACAAGAAACTAGTGCATAGGAAGTTTTAGGCTTAGCACCATCGATGAAAGCACA